AATTTGGTGTTTATAATAAATAATTATCTAAATTAGAAGACTTATCATTTGTATCAAGTTGTTGGAAAAATACATTGTTATAATAAAAAAAAATAGATCGTTCATTAATAAAATTTACAGAATATGAAAACCATCTTCTTTGGCACAAATTTTTAATTTTTATATATTAATCAATATTCACTACGGTTTTCCTAAAAAAAATGGTTGGTCGTCTTTTTTGCATCAAATACATCTATAAAAATCTATTGATCATACAAGTTGTAGTATGCTTTGCTTCTACCGAGATATCTACATCATCTCAATAGAGATGTCAGAATGCATTTTTTTATTTATTTCATTAGAACCTTGAATCATAAAGAGATAATAATTGATGTTTGATTGTATTTTTGTTTTACTCTATTTTGTTTACAATTTGTGATGGAGTAAAGTTTTCTATCGAGAGTCTTGGTTAGGGACGTTACTTTGTCCAACACAAATTGTTTCAATTGCATTAGAGGGTGATTAGTAAATTGGCTTTAAAAACTATACAAACATTTAAAAGACGTTTAAATTATAAAATTCACCAATTAAACTTGTTTGATTTAACATCGCTAAAAGTCCTAAAATCATTCTTTAATTAATTTTCTCACACCATTTTTTTTTCTTGGTTCATGTTGTGCTTTTTTTTAACAAAGTTATTCTTTTGTGATTTTTTTTTAATTTTAAAATCGCAATTACCTATGTCAAAGGCAAAAACATTTACATGTTTTTTGTATAGAATATTTTTGGATTTGATAAATAAAATATCTATTTTTAATACATAAATTTACATAAAAATTATATTGTAATTTACATAAGAATTACATAAATGTACACAAAATAGTTAATTGTAACTTGTTAGAATTAATTTACATAAGAATTAACTATTAAATTGTTAGAATTAATTGCTAAAGTTATTAAAAGACACTTAATTTTTGTTTTTTTTTATAAATAATTTAAAAAGAGAAATGTCAAAAAGTTAGATGACACATGACAGTCTCTCATGGCTTGAATTTTGAGAAACTTTACTATATTA